CTGTGTGAGCGGGAGGCGGCGACAGCGCGGCCAGGCCGGATCAGGCCCTGCCTCCCAGGCTCCCAATGGCTGCAGTGGAGGTCCGGCCCGGGGCGCGTCCATTGGCTACATCTGCCTTCCTTCAGGAATACCTAGAAGGGATGGCCCGTGAAGCTGTCCATCATGCATCGGTCCCACCCTCGGCCTTCGCTTCCCCGCCAGCCCGCCCGGCCACCTCCTTCCTCCTGCCCCGCCCCCACCTGGTCGTTCGGGCCTGTCCCCTGACCGTGTTTTGCCGCCTCCTGGTCAAGAGCTCCATCCCTGGACTATGGGCAGGAAGTTGCTGTGTCCGGAGAGTCCGAGACACTGAGGCCGGACCGGTTGCCCTCGCTCGGGCCCGGGCGTCCAGTCCGCCGCGGCGGTTCCCAGCATTTTGCCCGGGGAGGGACGCTGCCTCGATGTCCCCTACGCCCTCCTGTCCAAATCCTGGAGGCTGGAGGCCCCGTGCGGGGCAACGGGCAGGAGTAGCCCGGGGCCAACGGGTCGGGCGACGGGCGAAGGCGTCCCCGAGCGATCTGGGGCGGACGCATGTCCACCCGCGCCTCATCCCGTGAGGAGCACCGCCGCCGCCCGTCATGGCTGCGGGAGGAGACGGCGTCCTCCATCTTGTCGGGACCACTCGGAACCGGGTCTGTGGGGCTGGGCGACGTGTCCCCGGGCTGACTCCGGTACGCCGCGCTGTGCCGTTGGGCCAAGGGACAGCCTGCTCCCAGCGTCCGTGTGGGGCCCAGAGACTGGAGACGGCAAGGAGACCCAGACACCGCTCCCTTCCCCAAGGCCAAGATGGAGGCCCTGGGGGCGCCACTGGAGCCGGTCCCACTGCGGGTCTCTGGGTGCCGCCGCCGCCCGCCTGCGTCTCCCCCTAGCGGCGGAGTGGGATTTAATGGAAGTTGGTCAAACACCATTTAATCATGTCTTGAAACACAGATAACATCATTTAAGTAAAAAACAGATTGAGCCCCAGTTGATTACTTCTGAGTACTTAGGATAAAGACAGGTTTATTGAGTTAACAGACGCAAATCATCGAAGACAAAAGCATGTTCATAGGTTGATGAGAGCCCTAGGTTTCTTGTATACACAGTGCTATATTTCATGGACATTGCTAATGTCACCAATATTTTATTACCAGCCCTCAATTATTGGTTGGAAATAAATGAAGCAACAAAACGTAATTCCAACATTTTCATAACTGTTTTAAATTCTAGTCATCCTTCTTGTGTTAAGCACCTGTAAATGCAAAGCCAGAGGTAAGTTAAGTTGGTAGAGAAAAGCTCTGTAGATATAATTTAAAGTAAGGGCTGTCAGAAACTTTAAATTGTTAGGTTAAGTAGCCACATGTCATGTATTTTCTGAAGTACTGCCTTGCTCACTGTTCTCTGGAATTTGATAGTCTTCAAAGATGAAAAATTGATAACATTTCTTTTCCCTGATAATGGTGATTATCAGAGAATGTTGAAATTTTAAGACAACAGTTGAACAAAATAGATCCAGAGACAGAAGCATGGAACAGACTGACGAATCTCAGAGGGAAGGTAGGGGTGGGCGGGTGGGTGAGGAGAGATTAACCAAAGAATCTACATGCGTATATGCATAACCCACAGACATGACAACAGTGTGGTGAAGACTTAGGAGGGTTGGTTGGAGGTGGAGGGGGTCAGTGGGGAAAACAATGGGGACATCTGTAATACTTTCAACAATAAAGATTTTTTAAAAAGAAAGTGTTCATCTGTGGTAATATATACTTCAATAAATTGAATGTCACACAAAATTCATTTCCTAAATACATTTTCTTATATTAAGATAAACAGGGGCAGTAGCCACGTTGGCTGCAGAAGGTGGCATGAGCCGAGGCCTCCTGCAATGTTCTGCAACCCAAGCCTGACACCATGGGGAACTCCTAGGACCCAGCCAACGACCAGATGAAGCATTGGAAGGAGCAGTGGAACACGCAGAAACCTGATGTCCTCACCTCTGGGGCCGGTATTCAAATAGGGGACAAACTTAATATTATGACAACAGGGGCCCCTCCTGGTTCAAGCTGTGGTTTTCACCAATGAAATGGCTCACTTTGACCGGGAAAGGATTCCTGAGAGAGTTGTGCATACTAAAGGAGCAGGGGCTTTTGGCTACTTTGAGGTCACGCACAACATTACCAAATACTCCAAGGCGAAGGTGTTGGAGCATATTGGAAAGAGTTCGATTGCAGTTCAATTCTCCACTGTTGCTGGAGAATCGGGCTCAGCTGACCCTCGTGGGTTTGCAGTGAAATTTTACACAGAGCTTGGTAATTGGGATCTTGTTGGGAACAACACCCCCATTTTCTTCATCAGGGATGCCATATTGTTCCTTCACCCACAGCCAAAAGAGAAACCCTCAAACGCACCTGAAGGACCCAGACATGGTCTGGGACTTCTGGAGCCTGCGGCCTGAGTCTCTGCATTGTCTTCTTGTTCAGTGATCGGAGGATTCCAGATGGACCCAGGCACATGAATGGATATGGGTCGCATACGTTCAAGCTGGTTAATGCGAAAGGAGAGGCCGTTTATTGCAAATTCCATTATAAGACTGACCAGTGCATCAAAAACCTTTTGGTTGAAGATACAGCAAGATTCTCCCATGAAGATCCTGACTATGGGCTCCAGGGTCTCTTTAATGCCATCGCCACAGGCAACTACCCCTCCTGGACTTTTTACATCCAGGTCATGACCTTCAGTCAGGCAGAAAGTTCTCCATTTAATCCATTCGATGTTACCAAGATTTGGCCTCACAAGGACTACCCTCTTATCCCAGTTGGTAAATTGGTCTTAAATCGGAACCCAGTCAATTACTTTGCTGAGGTTGAGCAGTTGGCCCTCAACCCGAGCAACATGCCACATGGCATTGACATTGAGCCCAGCCCTGACAAGACGCTTCAGGCTGCCTTTTTTCCTATCCTGATACTGCCACCGCCTGGGACCCAAGTACCTTCAGATCCCTGTGAACTGTCCCTACCGTGCTCGAGTGGCCAACTACCAGCATGACGGCTCCATGTGCATGGTCGACCACCAGGGTGGTGCTCCCAACTACTACCCCAGTGCCCCAGAACAACAACCAAAGTTCACCCTGGAGAACAGCACCTGTGCCTCGGGGACGTGCGGCGCTACAACACTGCCAATGGTGATAGCGTCTCTCAGGTGCGGACGTTCTATATGAGTATACTGAATGGGGAGCAGAGGAAACGCCTGTGTGAGAACATCGCCAGCCACCTGAAGGACGCCCAGCTGTTCATCCAGAGGAAAGCGGTCAAGAACTTAAGCAATGTCCATCCTGACTATGGGGCCCGCATCCATGCTCTGTTGGACTAGTACAATGCCCAGAAGCCTAAGAACGCGATTCACACCTTTATGTAGCATGGGTCTCACCTGGCTGCAAGGGAGAAAGCTAACTTGTGAGGGTCAGAGCCCTGGTCTGGTGCCGAGTTGCTCTCTGCCTATGAAGCAAAGCATGGAATTCATACCCATAATCCACTGACGCACTCATCACTGGATAGAAGATTCTGCTGTGCTAGATGGGCAAATGCAAGTCTTTCAGACGATAATCCAGTTTTCATAGCAAATCTATATATATAAAACCCTAATATGCAAATACAGTGGGGCCTTGACTTACGAGTGTCCCGACTAACGAGTTTTTCAATATACGAGCTGTCTCTCAGTCGATTTTTTGCTTTGAGTGGCGAGCTAAAATTCGGGTTACGAGCAAGCTTCAGATACCCCACTGTTAGTTGGCGCAGCGAACGTCACAGTGAACGCCACAACATCAGCCCAGCGTCACGTGTCTCACTCGTTCACAATTGATTTGACATATGAGTAATTTGAGTTATGAGCTCTGCCACGGAATGAATTAAACTCGTAAGTCAAGGCCCCACTGTAGACCGAACAGTGGAACAACCGAACAACTCATCTCTATGACATGCGCTGACCACCTGGGGACGTGAGTGGAACATGGCGGGTGTCGGCTGCGACAGGATGGTGGAGCAAGTGAGCAAGGGTGCCAGACCAAGGAGAGGCACCGGTTGCTGTCATCAGGGCGAGCCTCTGGTGATTACTAAAAATTCTTTGCTACCACATGCCAAGGTCCCACCCAGCGCTTGCACCCGCTGCCAGCACCCGGCACTGTTCCCGATCACTGGGCGCCATCAGTGGGTGTGAACAGTGGCTGCTGGCCCCTATTACCCCTGAGGGCTTCTCTGCCTCCCTGTGCTCCTGAGGGGTGTTTGGGGTAGCAGCCACTGCTTGCACCCGCTGATGGTGCCGGCCCCAATTGCCCTGTGCTGTCAGTCAGTGTGAGGGAGTGGCAGCGATGAGAGGGGCTCCCAGCAGACAGGGGACCAGGGACTGCAGCAGGAGGGGCCGGGTGGGGGCACAGAGAATGGGCCAAGACCTGTGCCTGTGCCCACCACAGCCTCGTGGCCCACAGGTCCTTTCAAGGTGCACAAATTTGTGCACTGGGCCCCTAGTTATATAATAATGGCCTTTAATGAAAATGAAAGGGACAATGAAGGTTAGGGCTTAAGAATCATTTAAAAGAAATGTGTTTGCTTTTGACAATTGGTTGGATTCTTCACTTGAAATGATCAGAATGAAAGTT